GCAAATTTGCGCAGCATCATGAAAATATCCAATTTTATTGGTGGGTTGGGTGCGTGTTATCCTTATTTAGTAATTGACTTGGCGATTGCGGATATTTTTGCGGAAAAATACATGATTATCAATTTTTTCACCTTGTTCCTTCTTCAAAATACTTCTGATAGTGCTATAATTCTTGGGTTCCATAGTAGATCTGATGTAAATTAGCTTCATATTAACTATTTTTATCTAGAGGTAATTCTATATATCACTTAAGATAACAGATTGGATATTATAAAATTGTTAATTATAATTGCATTAAAGATAACTAAATTTTGATCCCTGAAATTTTTGGTAATACAAATGTTCACTTTGTCTGGTTTTGTTGCAGTCTGCCCCATATGAAATTACACTCTCTGTGACATGTCCCACGACTGATATTAATTCACGTGCGTGATGTTGTATATATATTTATCTCATCAGCAAGCTATTTTTTCCAATTCTTTTTCTTTCAAATAATGGAGCCGGAAAATTTTGTAAATTTACTTCTTGATCATATTGAAACAAGGTCACCACTTCCTAAACACCACAACTTTGACTTGTATAATTGTCAACTTTTATCAGAAGTTGCTTATAAATTTGCAAGGTGTCTATATTATTTATTATAAAAGCATAAATATTATTTCTAATTCATACATATATATTTACTAAATAATTGCAAAAGTGAAAAGGTTAAGAATTATAATGATGTTCTATTGAGATATATTTTCTCACACAACATTGCTCCAAACTGTGATCTCATGGTAAATATTGTATATAATTTAATAAATTATTAATATTATAATTTTATATTAAAAATTACTAGAATTTACAAATATTTAAAAATTAAACAGTTTAATGCCAAATTCTTGACACAATTATTAGTAAAGAGACTTCAAAATTGTTTAAATCCAAAGGCTTTTACTCAAATATTGAAGTTCTTTAATACATTAGAATTAGATTCAACTGATGATCATGACAATAATAATCATAATAAATGTAAGTATACTATATAAGAATGAATATATTTATCATAAATAAATATATTATACAATATTCATAAATACTAATATATAATACTTATTGTTAATTATTAATTATTTTGATTAGATCCTCTGAGATCTTGTATTGTATTCTTGATGGAAAAAATATTTGGACAAAGTATAATTCAAGTTCACACACTTCATTGGATATTATTATTTATTAGAGATGAAGTTACTTGGTTATTGGATGAGGAAGAACTTGATATTCTGATCAATAATGATTCTGATAATTTTACACAATCAAAATCCATCAAAATACTCATAATTGAGAGATGTAATATGGTAGCAATAAATTATAATAACATTATTATTAATATTATTAGTAGAAATATTAATATTGGTAATATCAATACTAAAATTTATTTCTCACCACATGAAATATAATAAGTTGAAGAGAACTTTAGCATGTGAAGAACTTGAGATTTCACGATTAATTGATGGAATTATGAGAATGTCAAAAAATAAATTGAATTATCCTTATACTGATGAAGAAATTAAATTATCCAAAAAGTAATTTATTTATTATAATTATGATTATCAATTATTTATCATTATGTTCATTCACATTTATTTTTTGGAAACAATCAAAGATTATATGTTTTACAAAATCTTCTTGAATACATTATTAATTACCCAACTGAATATCGACAATTAGCAAATAAATTTATCGAGGTATGGTTATTATTGTTATTGTTATTGAATATACATTATAAATTAATTAATAATTAATTATTATAGATTCTAGAATCCAATGATTTTTCAAATTTTCAACAAATATTTATTTTGTGAGTTTTTATTTTATATATGTTATAATTATATAATTAATATGAAAATAATAATAATAATAATTTGTTGATTTTGCATAGATTTTATCTTTATTATTCTGATCATTTATCTGAAATGAGTCCATTACTAACTCAATTACAATTATTGAAATGTCTAACTATTCAAGATATTCAAGAGGTACGTGATTGGATATGGGTATTTATACTGCTAATGTGTGTGTATTTATATTGATGTATTAATATTAATGTATTTGATCTTTTATATTTAGTTGAATATGGATTCAAATTTAAAAATATTCATGTACAATAATTTTACTAATTGTCAAGTAGATCGTATTGAATATTTGATTAATCAAACTATTACTTCAAAAAATCAAGTAACTGTTAATATTTATATTACATTTATATTATATATAAATATATAATTTATATAATTTAATATATAAATTTATATATAGGAAATTAAATATAATTTTGGAAATCTAGCTGAGATTATACCATTTTATTCTGGTAACATATTAAATTTGGAGGAAATATTGGAAAATCTTCCAAGATTAGAAAATGACGAAATGATTTCTTTATTATTTGATATTGCTACATTGGTATCTAATTCACCAATCAAGTAAGGAACATTTAGATATTTCTTTGTTTTTTTTTTTTGGTTTGTATTAAGAACAAAATATTAATTAATTTTTTAACAAAAAAGATATATCCCAAGAATAATATCATGCTTGGGATTATTACATAGAAAATGCGAAAATGATAATTTATTGAAATCAAATCATAAATTTATTAGAGATTTCAATCGAATATTCCTTGATATTTGGTTAACTTTATTTTCACGTATTATTATTTATGAAAATAAACCTTATATTAATAATGATAAACAACGTCAAATCTACTCTTCAACACCATTACTATTACAATCGAAATCAACTAAATCGTCATCATCATCATCATCAAAATTGAAAAAATCAACTAAATCTTCAAAATCTTCAAAATCATTGCCATCACCATCAACAGAAAAAATATTATATGTGATAATTTCATTTTTAGAAAATTTTAACGGATCATTGAAATTCATTTGGTTAATGGAATCCAACAACAACTATAATAATAGTGATAGTAATCAACAACAACAACAACAACAACAACAAACTGATAGCTCAATTTTGACAATATTTTCCAATTTCGTCAAAAGACTTTTAAAATTGTTTAATAAAAAAATAATAATGAATAATAATAATAATTTCCAAGAAGAAAATATTTATTTGGAATCATTATTTGGATTGATATTTGATAAATTGTTCTTGGATATTCCTTTAGAAGTAATTATTAAAGAAAAGAATGAATTAGAGAAAATTATTATTAGTTTTAGTAGTAGCAGCAGTAGGAATAATAACGATGTTGATGACAAGAATAACAATTGGTTAAAAATATTAGAAGAAAGAATTAAAATTTTAAATGATAATTATAATCAGGAAAACGAGGAGGAGGATTAATAATGCAGATGAAGATGATCTGGAAATGGAAAATAAACATAGGGAAGAGGATACTGTGGAAGAGGATGAGGATGGTTAAGAGGAGAATGATAATGATGAGAAGTTGTATTATTGATAAATTTTTAATTTTTTAAAAAAATTTTTTTCTGCAATATATTATTATTATTTTTGATTTATATAGAATATATATTTCATAAATAAATATCATTCCATTAAAGCAATCTACGGTTCATGAACTTTTATTTTCTTGATTTTTTTCTTCTACAATTCCCAAACGATTCACGTCAGTTTTAGAATCTAATTTCTTTTTTGCTATTTGATCTTCTTCTCTACGTTTTTCTATCATCTTTAATTCTTGAGCTTTAATTTTTTTAGCACGTGCAATCTACATTTTTAAAAATTGTGAACAAATAAATAAAATATTATATATATAATTTATATAGATTTACCTCTTTTGTATGATGCAAACATTCAAAATAATCTTCTTTCTCCATTATACAATCTTCTGGTCGATTTGCCATTGCATAACATTTACGAAATTCTTGCCAGAAATTAAAACATCTTCCAATACCTCCATTATACCCATATCCTGATGCCACTATTAGATTAATTTGATAAATAGATTAATAGATATGAAAGAGTGAGAAATATTGACTATAGATGATAATTTTAAAAATACCAAACTTGTGTGAGATAAAATTACAATTTAAAAATTTTAATTTAAAAAATTTCAGGGGTTCAAAATCAATCAGATCATCTGCGGACATATACATTCGTGAATTTAAAAAAAATTGCCGTTTTAATACTAAAGATGTTAGCCGAAATTAAATGATCGTCACCGAATCTGAAATGCCGAAATACATATGTAAACTCGATAAGTCGGTTTACTCGATAAGTCGGCCAAAATTTTCACCCCATTTTCTTAATATTTAAGTAATTTAATTCGATAAGTCGGTTTACTCGATAAGTCGGTCATATGAGCTCACCCCCACATGACCGACTTATCGAGTTTACATATGTAGTCTTTCATAGTTGCCGAAATTAACTTTATTAATTGCCGAAATTATACTCGAAATTATTTGAACACTTTAACTCAATAGCCAAAATTCTGGGTAGTTTTTTTTATGTACATCATTATGAAAATATTGTAAATCTGAAATCGCCTGCCGAGATTGATTTTTTCAAAAACCATTTCGGCTAACATCTTTATTTAATACAGAAATGCTGATTTGCAGATCATACAATACAGGAATGCAAAAGAGCAAAATTGAATTCTTTCTATTGGCTAATTATATATATTTGTTATAAAAAAATACAAGTTACTATATAAAGGTGCTCTAATCAATGGACGAATTCGGGTAACTTTTTTTCATATTAATATAATTACTATTACGAATTAAAACAGAAACTTTAAATCAACGTAAAAAATCATTACTGAAATTTGGTGTATATTCGTTATAAAACAGGTACAGATTACTATACTGTATATAAAGGTGCTCTAATCAAATCATAGAATGAACGAATTTGGATATACTTTTTCTATATAAAGTATACGCCATTATTATTATGACCGCATTTTTTAATATTACCTTTCTTTTATCAAAAATTTTTTTTTTAAAAAAAAATTTTTATCCTTTACAATACACATTGAAAAGTTATTATAAAAAATGGAAGAAAATAATGAAAAGAATACTGACATTATAGAAGTAGTAACAGTATTGAATACAGAAAAAGATAAAGATACAAATGATGATGTTATTCAAAAACAAAATAATCCACATAATGGATGTGATATTGATGAAATAAAATATAGTCCAAATTTAAAGTTTTTAGTAACTCATAGTAGAGTCAATTCATCTATTGTTGGATGGACAGTTGATCTTGACAATGAAACTATCCAGCCAGATAAAGATTACTTTAAATATTCTGAAAATGATTTTAAAAAAGAAAAAGAAGTTTTTATAAAAGGTGTTTCTGATGACAAATATATAATTTTATATCAATGTTCAGGAGATTATAGTAAGTAATTATTAATTAATTGATATATGTATTTTATTATTATAATGACTAAATAATAAAATATTTAAATAATTTAAATTAACTTTTTAGAATTTCTTGACTTTACAAAAAAAAAACATGTTGACTTTATAATTAATGGTAAAACAGATGATGGATGTTTTGATGGTGGAAATTTCATTACAAATAATGGTTTATTAATGATTAGGTATAGGTATGGTGGTATCTGCCATTTATACAATTTTTCATATGTGAGTGATGATGACAATGATGCAAATGATAAATTGGTTCATAAATCAACATATT